AAGCCTGTCATTCAGGACTTCAGATAAGGTGGGCGTATTGAGAAGTTAAATACTTCTAACTTAGGGGTGCCTGGATGGCTCAGTCAGTTGAACGTCCGACTTCGGCTATGTCATGATCTTGTGGTTCGTGGGTTCAAGCCCCGCGTCGGGCTGTGTGCTGACAGCTTGGAGCCTGGAGGCTGCTTCGGATTCTGTGCCTCTCTCTCTGCCTCTCCCTGGCTTGTACTCTCTCTCGAAAGAAATAAACATTTTAAATACTTTTAAATAGTGGCAGGGTTGACAGTAATAGAGAAGAAGCCCTTATTGGGGTTTGGGCAGAACGTCAGAGCCACTGTGAGTGATTTAAGGGATGTATTGTGGGGAAATAAGCCAAAGGCGGTGCTGGGAGTGAAGCCGTCTGGAAGGCTCTGGTGGTGCCTATACCTGGTGTTGGGCCGAGCTGAGCAGGACCATCGGAGAAGAGAGGAGGGAAGGGCAGGGAGGGCTGGGGAGGGCAGAGCAGGAGCAACCTGCAGTCTGCAAGGTTGAGGTGAAACTCACTGGAACAAACGGGAACTCGGAACTCGTGTCCGTTTCTTGCCGCCTCCCCGCCGGCAACCTTGACGACACAGGTAACCTACGCAAGAGCACGTGCACTTGACTACGAAATGGCACACAGACTTGAGCCAGGATTCTGAGAAGTGGGCGGGCTCAGGAATTGGCTGTGGCCCAGAGATCCAGCAGGATGGTGAAGCGCGGGCCTGGTGTCCCTGCAGGCGGCCGGGGCAGCAGGCAGAGCCCCACCGGTTGGGGGTGAGCCTTGGTAGTGCCTGAGCTTAGAGCAGTTTTCCAAGTGTGAGCGTGGCCGCTGTTTCGATTCCACCTTCCAGATGGCATACGAGCTCTGCGGCCGTCCCGCCCCTACAGCTGGACAGGGAGGGGAGCGTGGGGCATTGTGGCTCCGGGCTAAGTGGACTGGAGCAACACGCGAACACAACGCCTTGTCAGCTGAGCACCGGGACATGCCGTTGGGTCAAACCTAGCTCCCAGAGAAGGCCGTAGCCCGACATGATGAAAGTGTCCCTCTTACAACCCCAAATTCACTAACCCAAGATTCACTAGTCCCTTTTTGCATCTTTGGGTGATGTTCATCCGTCTTCAGGCTGGGTCACAGCCCTCCCACCCCCCTTGATGTTTGTCCAGCCTCGGTTCTGAGACATGAGATTAAATACCGTCAGCATACCTTTGCCACTAGGAGAAGGGGAGAGAGGAATAAAATGTTTATATCCAAATAAGAGAAAAGTACTCAGAACTATTACATTCTTTGTATCTGCACCTGGTCACAGGACCACTGCTGATGCCTATAACTACCTTTGTGTGCTAGCCAAGCTGTGTTCCCCTTGTCTTTGGCACAGGAGATGACCCAAAATGGAGTTCTTGAGGGGTCTAGAAGTGGAACTCTTATACACCAATAGGAGGAATATAAAACGGCAATCCACGTTGCAAAACAGTTCGACAGTTTCTTACGTAGTTTAAATATATACCTACTGTATGTTGCACACTCTTTACTTGTGAGAAATAAAAGCATATGCCCCCACAAAGACTTGAACACAAATGTCCATAGCTGCTTTTTTATAATAGTCCCAGACTGGAAACAACCCAAATATCCATCAACAAGTGAATAATCTATTATAATAGTGGTATTACCAACACATAGAATGGAATATTGCTCAGCAATAAAAAAGAATGAGCTATTGATACACTGAGCCATATGATGAATCTCAAAATAATTTTGCCTCATGAAAAAAAGTCCAGACAGAAAGTGCGTATTGTAAAATTCCATTTACATAAAAGTCTGGAAAATTCAAGTGATCTATAGGGACTCAAGGTATGGTTCACTGGCCGCCTGAGGAAGAGCTATGGGTGGGGGGAGGGGATTACAGTGAGGCATGACAAAACTTGGGAATGATGGATATGTACAGTATCCTGATTGTGGTGATGTCTTCATGACATCTGTTTCCTCCGGCCTCAGAGTTAAAAGCTGCCCAAGTCTCCCAACTCCCCGGGGCCCTTGGCTGTGTTCACAAGACAGTGACAAGTGTGGCACAGGGACAGAAGTAAAGCAAGTGATAAAAGGTTGCAGATAGTGGTGGGGTGAGATGAGGGATGGCCTTCAACCCATGTAACATACAAAGAATTTGGACTTTCAGGGGCACCTGGTTGGCTCAGTCATTTGAGTGTCCGACTCTTGGTTTTGGCTCAGGTCATGGTCTCGCGGTCTTATGGGTTCGAGCCCCACATCAGGCTCTGCTCTGGCAACACAGAACCTGCTCGGGATTCTCTCTCTCCGTCTATCTCTGCCCTGCCGTCACTTGTGCTGTCTCTGTCTCTCTCAAAATAAATAAATAAACTTAAAAAAAAGAGTTTGGACTTTCCAAGGCCACGGGAGAATGAGCAGTGAGGCGAACATGAAATCATTCAATCTTTTTGAGCAAGTAGTTTTATTATGATTCCGTACAAGTGTTAATAGTACAGTAAACTGGGAAGGGCAGGTTTGAGAGAGATTATGAAGTCTAAATTACCAGGACTTGGTGATGAATATGGTTGGTCAATGAATAGAAGAAATCAAAGCTGATCTAAAGATTTTGATATGAGTTATAGGAGAAAAAGTTATGTATTTGATTAAAAAAAAAGAACTCTGGAGAAGTACTTGATTTGCATGGAAATGTGTTGAGTTCAGTTTGGAACACATTGCATTTGTGATGATGTTAAAATATCCAAAGGAAAAACACCAACCATCAAGTGACATTACAAAATCAGAACTCAGGACAAGGGCAGGATTGCACACTTTGTGGTTCTACTTAAAGACAGGAGAGTTGGGGCGCCCGGGTGGCTCACATAAATGTCCAACTTCAGCTCAGGTCATGATCTCACAGTTCGTGGGTTCGAGCGCCGGGTCGGGCTCTGTGACGATAGCTCGGAGCATTGGAGCCTGCTTCGGATTCTGTGCCTCCCTCTCTTTCTGCCCCTCCCCCACTCGCGCGCGTGCGCTCTCTCTCTCTCTCTCTCTCTCAAAAATAAACATTAAATGGGGCGCCTGGGTGGCGCAGTCGGTTAAGCGTCCGACTTCAGCCAGGTCACGATCTCGCGGTCCGTGGGTTCGAGCCCCGCGTCAGGCTATGGGCTGATGGCTCAGAGCCTGGAGCCTGTTTCCGATTCTGTGTCTCCCTCTCTCTCTGCCCCTCCCCCGTTCATGCTCTGTCTCTCTCTGTCCCAAAAATAAATAAACGTTGAAAAAAAAAATTAAAAAAATAAATAAATAAACATTAAATAAACTACCCATTATTAAGTACCTTCCAAGCATTATACTGTATGTCAGTATCTTATTAATCCTCACATTAACATTGCAAGTTATATATTATTACCCTCGTTTTGCAGATGAGGAAACGGGCTTGTAGACAGTGTTACTTAGGCGCTTGTAATTGGCAAAGCGGAAATGTAACCCTCCTCTGTAACTGCAAAGCCCGGACCCTTAACCTCTATGCCATCCTGAATTCTGGCAACTTGAGTGTATCATGAAACTTCTGCCTCCGGTGCCTTTCTTTCTGTCTGCTTCCTCCTGCGTCTAGACTGCTCTTTTCTTCCCTCCAGTCCCCTTAAAGCATCGGACTCCTGCTGAGTCTTAAGTCTGTCGAGAGTGCTCGGAAGGCTATTTTCCCTGCCTCCCCAGCTGATTCCGAGCCCATCGTAGACCATCTCTCTTTCATTGTACTATACACGTTATTACAATCATCTGTATGCCAGTGTTTCCACTAGAGTAAAGGTTGGCACACCGTATTCAGTAAAGGGCCAGAGAGTAAATATTTTAGCTTTTCTGGGCCATCCCATCTCCGTTGCAGCTACCCGACCCGGCCGCTGTGGTGTGAAAGCAGCCAGAGCAAGGCGTAGACAAACAAGTATGGCTGAGTTATGGTACAACTTCATTTATGGACACTAAAATCTGACTCTCATGTAATTTACACATGTCACGAAGTATTCTCCTTCTTTGGATTTATTTTTCTAATCGTTAAAAAAATTAAAAACATGGGGCGCCTGGGTGGCGCAGTCGGTTAAGCGTCCGACTTCAGCCAGGTCACGATCTCGCGGTCTGTGAGTTCAAGCCCCGCGTCAGGCTCTGGGCTGATGGCTCGGAGCCTGGAGCCTGTTTCCGATTCTGTGTCTCCCTCTCTCTCTGCCCCTCCCACGTTCATGCTCTGTCTCTCTCTGTACCAAAAATAAATAAAAAACGTTGAAAAAAAAATTTAAAAAAAAATTAAAAACAAACAAACAAACACGTTCGTATCTTGTGAGCCATTCAGAAGCAGGTGCTGGCTGGAGGTGTCCCATAAGCTAGAGCTTGCTGTCCCCTACACTATAGTATGAATTTCTTGGCCACAGGTCTAGTACTTCTTTGTTAGGGTGACAATACCAACGTATCGTCCAAACTGGGATGCTCTGAAAGCGAAAGGGTTGCTGCGAGTGACGCTGGGATCCGCAGGCACAGAGGGGAACTAGGCCAGGCAGAGAGGGGTTGTCACCCTGGTCACAGGGTAGCCTCGTCGGTTGTATACGGCTTCATCTGGGATCTTAATCGCTTCAGCCGCCCCATGTCCCAGGATTCATTTATTCTTGGTCGACTCGCAGGCTTTGGGATGTGTGTGCGAGGTGCTGAAGTCATTCAGAGCACTAATGTTTTACACCTGCCACAGTGGCCCTGGAAGAAGCAGCTGTATATTCAGTAAGTGGTTTTCAGAGTGGATGAGTGTGGAACCCGTGCATGACCTGGACAGTGAATTCATACAACTTTATAGCATGTCTCTTCCAGAGAGTTTTCCTCCATCGAGTACCAAGAGTATGGGTTCATGCTAGTAAAAATTAAAATGAAATTTGCTGTGGACAAAATTATAGAACAGAAGCAGAAGAGAAGACTTGTTTCACATTATATTTAATGCCTTCTGTCTTTCTTTTCAATCTTTTTGCAGTTTTTTGAGGTGCCATTTGATTCAAACATGAATAGGACAAAGAACAGACCTCTGGTTCGTGGACAGATCAGGTAAACTCACAAATCCAAGACTCTTTCACTGTCTAGAACATCCATTTGCTGGTTTATCCCGAATCGTTTCCCAGTCTTGTGCCTTGAGTTGTGGTGGGCAAATAACACACCCCCAAAGGGACCTACTGGTGTGGACATGCAGTACCTCTACTCAAAGTGTACCACAGGGCACCTAAAGCCGAGCTAAGATTTGCAGTCCCGTTGTTGGGGAAACTCATGCCGTGTGGATGTCTTTATGAGATCCCACTTTGAAACGTGGACTTGTTTCACTTGTCCCGGCTGAGGATAAAAACATTCCATTAGCACAAGTGATTTCAGACAAATCCACATAGGGTCTCCGAAGAAAGATCTATCCGAAGCCTTACTTTTGCAGACAAACTGATAATGCTGTCATCTGCCAAGCAAAGGACTGCCTCCATTACTCTTTCTACCAAATTCAATTAAGTGGAACTAAAAGGCATATAAATATTTTAATATCACTAATGGTTAATAATTAAACGTTTTAACTTCCTGGAGTCCTTGAAACTGGCATTGAAAAAAAAATTTTTTTTAAATCCAGTGGATATCATCAGCCAAGAAGAATAAAAAGAGGCAAATGGTTGATAACGACTATTCTAAATCAGTGAATCCTGCCCTCACATTTCCAGGCAGTGCCCTCATGGAGCTTAAAATGTATTGGGTAACACTTGTGGATCAAACCAATCACACATTTTCAGTAAGACAATAAAGGAAACAAAGCAGGTACAGTCAGAAGTCTATGTAAAAATGATTTTTAATATTAGCCGTTTGTAGCCATTCAGTTCTTAAATGAGTTTAAAATACCATTATATTGCAAAGAGCCATGAAAACCTGTAAGAACAGAAATCTCATATCTATTGATAATTGATTTCTTTTCTTGAAATATAAATCAAGCCATCTGCTGGGTTTTTATTTAAAAAGTGTCAGAAGTACGTTTATTGTTATTTTTTTAATGTTTATTTTTGAGAGAGACAGAGCATGAGCAGGGTAGGGCAGAGGGAGAGGGAGACACAGAATCCGAAGCAGGCTCCAGGCTCTGAGCTGTCAGCACGGAGCCTGACGCGGGGCTCGAACTCACAGACCGTGAGATCATGACCTTAGCCGAAGTCGGACGCTTAACTGACTTAGCCACCAAGGCGCCCCAGAAGTACTTTAATTTGAAGTTGTTTTATAGGCTTTTAAAGTTTTTAAAATTTATTTTAGGGGGAAGAGAAGGAGCACTCGAGAGCATGAGTGGGGGAGAGGCAGTGAGAGAGAGAGAGAGAGAGAGAGAGAGAGAGAGAGAGAGAGAGAGAATCCCAAGCAGGCTTCACACTGTCAACTCAGAGCCTGATTCAGGGCTCAAACTCACGAACCATGAGATCATGACCTGAGCTGAAATTGAGTTGGACGCTTAACCGATTGAGCCGCTCAGGTGCCCCTGAGTGAAGTTGTTTCACAAGAGCAAATGCAAGCTTTGTAACCCATTTCAAAAACTAGAAGCTGCTTGTGCTGCTGGTCAGGTCACACGTAAGTTCTTTCTCCTTTCCTCAGTGAAATCGTACCCTCTAGAACCAAGGCAGATGCAGGACAAGCCCAGTAAGCAGCCATTAGGCATCTAATGGCGATCAGATAGAGGCCCGCCATTCTTCCTGTATCTCCTCTTACTTTGCCTAGTGTGGTCATTGTCTGCACCCAGGAAAGCCAGGCCTTTAAGTGCATCCAGAGTGGGGGGCTTGTTCGTTGGCCTTGGCAGTGCCCATCCTTTAAAGGAGACAGGCTGGGGGCGCCTGGGTGGCTCAGTTGGTTAAGCGTCCGACTTCGGCTCAGGTCATGATCTCGCAGTCTGTGGGTTCGAGCCCCGCGTCGGGCTCTGTGCTGACAGCTCAGAGCCTGGAGCCTCTTTCAGATTCTGTGTCTCCCTCTCTCTGACCCTCCCCCGTTCATGCTCTGTCTCTCTCTGTCTCAAAAATAAACGTTAAAAAAAATAATAATTAAAGGAGACAAGCTGTCATCTAGTTATTAGTCTTGCTAAACTTGTAACTTCACCTTTTGTTTTGCAAGATGACCCCGGGTCTCCTTTATGACAATAAACCTTAATTGCTGCCTAAAGTAGCCTCCGAGAGGGCAACTTACGGGGCTGGAAAAAGAGAGTCAAACTTCTGTTATGAGCTAGCATGTATTTTATTAAATCGGTACAATTGTAGGAGCTGTTCCGAGTCTGCGGCAGAAATCCTGCACTGAGAGTCACGGTTTTGAAACTGCAGACTTGGTATCCTGCCAGGTAGTTTTTATTATAATTTAGTAAATTGTTATCTATGACACATATTTTGTAAGTGGCTGGCTGCGGGGGTATAGTAGAAAGTCTTACGTCTGTCCGTTAGCATTGATTCCAGCTTTGGTGGTTCTGACATTCACAATAGCTATTGGGCATTTAGGCGTAAATACCAGCCAGTTTATTTTGAAATTCTTGATTTGGAATTTACTGCTCCATTTGATTGGACTGATCAGCCTTGTTGAATCTGTCCGACGTCGTAGACACTGCAGTTTGTCATGTGAAGTGTAAGTTCCCGTCATTACTGACGGCAGCAGTAAGCATGGTCAGTCTGGGAAGGAAATCCTTGGACATCTTTGCCACTGACGGCTGTTTCCTCCTTTGTACCTCGCTTGGCTTCTCTCCATCCTGAAGACATACCATGAGCATTTATGGGGTGTGTGTGTGTGTGTGTGTGTGTGTGTGTGTGTGGCATTAATTTTTTAAAGTGATTGCAATTTAGTTTGAAAATTTTTACTGAAGTGAATAAAAGGGTATTCTAAGAAGTTAAAGGAATACAATTAAGGAAAGAAACATATGCCTGGATTAGTTTTTTTTTGTTTGTTTTTTTGTTTTTTTTTTTGAGAACCTGGGAAATACTTTGTGTACCCATCTGTACATTTATGCACTTGCATGGTGGCCATTCTCTGAACTTTTGGTTTTCTCTTCCAGAAAAATGTGGCTGGGTAGGTGGGCACTGAATGCCTTATAGAACTGACAGAGATGATGGGGCTTTTTTTTTTTTTTTTAGTGTTTATTTATTTTGAGAGGCAGAGAGGGAGGGAGACAAAATCCCAAGCAGGCTCTGCACATCAGGCACAGAGCCCGATGTGGGGCTTGAACCCATGAACTGCGAGATCGTGACCTGCGCCCAAATCAAGAGTCGGACACCCAACCGACTGAACCACCCACGTGCCCCGAAGATCGTGCGTTTTTGGTTGTTTATTCTGTATTCCAGAAAGGATTAGAGGTATCATGAGACTGTAACTTAATAAAACAGAGAAATACGTAAAGAAAAAGTCAGGGTTACGGAACATAGAATCTGTGATAAAACGGCGAGAACAAGGAAAGCTTCTCAAGGTCACCGTAGTTACTGAGGTTGACCTGTAGATTTCATTCTGCATTTCCTGGTGAAATCACAGTCCCATCGTAATGGTAAGCATTGCGTGCAATATTAATATTTAATTCTCCCTACAGCACCATGAGATAGGACACTGTTGAATATGCAGGTGAGAAGACTGAAGATCCAAGTGTTATGAAAAGTGGCAGAACCAAAATTTGGCCTGGCCCATTTGCTTCCCTGCCCTGAGTTCCTAACCGCTACATATAACCGTCTCTAAAATCTCTCTGTCCGTGAGAAGGAAACACCACCCTAGGGAGACCAAACTTCTGCCTCTCCGTTCTTAAAAAAATAAGAAAGGACACTTGGTGACGATATTAGAAGAATGTCCTACATGACTTCCATGGAGGAAACCTATATAGATTTCTAAGGCATCTCTCGGCTGCAAGCCAGAGCAAAAATACCCAAGAACAGCTCCTGCTGAGAACTGCGTAGAGCGAAACTTCTTGAAGCAGGTGGTGAGGAAGAAGCTCGTGGGCAGACGTATTGGCCCAAGGACCTTCTCTAGCGCGCCAGCTTGCTCCAGGGATTAAGCTGAGCCAGTGAAAGAGAGGAGAGAAGATGCCAGTCTCGTGTGTGCATCAGGCGACGCGGGGGATGTGCTCCCGCCACACAATACGATAGGAAAGAGGGGGCGAACGGTCAAGCGGCTCTTGGTCCTGGTTTGCCCAGGACCCTCCTGCTTTACACCAGAATTATTGATGGTGTTCTGCTCTCACTCTTAATACTGTCCAGGCTGGGTGATAGCCACACCACGTAATTTCTAGAAAGGGCTGGTGGTGATGACTGTAAAGTTTACAGAATTTCCTCCTTTTTAAGTCCGTTTCCTACAAATTCCAATTGCTTTTTTTGCCTAGAGAAGAAAACAAAGAGCACATAAATGGAAAGTATGTCATATCTAAATCAGACTGTAGGTCCACACCATAATACAGGCCTCTTTAACTAGCTTTTTAAAAATGACACTCGATGTCGGGGCACCTGGGTGGCTCAGTTGGTTAGGTGTCCAACTCTTGGTTTCGGCTCAAGTCATGATCTCATTTTCGTGGGTTCGAGCCCCACGTCGGGCTCCGTGCTGACAGTGCAAAGCCTGCTTGGGATTCTCTCAATCCCCCTCTCTCTCTCTCCCCCCT